CCCAGCAAGGCAAACGAGAGTCCCGGTCGGCACAGTTAAGGCAAATTGGGCAATTAGATCAAAGTCAAATGTACTCCACTCATTATCTATACTAAAAAATAAATTTCCCATTATTAAAGTAACATAAATGTCCCAATTTAATGCACGGGTGCTTTTAGCAGCAAGAATGAAGATTTAAACTCTGGTAACAACATGACTGACTGAACGCAGCGCTAAGCCCCTCTTACCACTGCGGGACAGAATGAACAATCAGACGTATGGCTGTTTAACAAACAAAAGTCCCATTTTTACATGCAGACACGGCCGAAGCAAAGTTGCACATTCAGACAGCAGCAACACAACTGTTTGCTTATGTTTAATATAAACATATTTAAAATCCCTAAACATCCTCATCCTCTGTGTCTGACATGAAAAGCTGACCCAGCACTGAACCCAGCGCGCTCGGCTCCGACGCGCCCGGCTCATCGCCGTCAAAGTCAATGTCAATGTCGTTGCTCGGCTCTCCCGTTGTGATCCCGGCCTTGGTGAAAGCTCGAACAACAGTCTGGACGGAAACGTTGGCCCAGGCATCAGCGACCCACTCACAGATGGTGGCATAAGTCGCTCGGCGCTGCCTGCTCGTCTTGGTGAACGTGTGTTCACCATCAGTCATCCAGCGCTCCCACGCTGCTGGGACTTTCGCTTTGAAGGACTGGTTCACCCCGATGTCCAGCGGCTGGAGTCCCCATTTTCTCCATGGTCTGGTTCACCGGGATGTCGAAGGTAAGCCGGACCTCGTCCATGTTGGTGATGTGCTGGGGCTAGATGGTTTTGTCTGCGATCTTCTTCGTGCAATAGGAGCGGAACAACTCTAGCTTCTCAACGTAGTCGGTGGGTAGCTGCTGCGAGACGGTAGCTCTGGTATGGATAGAAAGCACTTGCCTCCACATGAAGCGAAAACACCTGGAAGGGCCTCTCATGAAGTCCGCAATGTCCATCTCTCGTGCTAATGCTGCAGCTCTGAGACGAATGGAGATGGTGGAGACACTTCTGCTCCCCGTTCGCTGCTCTGCTACCCACTACTCAACTCGGTCTTCAAGCAGCGACCATCTTGCCTTGTTGCCTCTGAAGCTACGTTGTGTTTTCTTCACCTGCAGCAGCTGGTCTTCCAGCTTTCTCCACTTGCGGACCATCGACTCGTTAATCTTGTATTCTCTCGCTGCTGCTCTGTTTCCATGCTCAACAGCGTGAGCGATAGCTTTGAGCTTGAACTCTTCCTCGTAAGCATGTCTCTTTGCTGGTGCCATGGCTGGCTACTGGTATAGCTGTGTGGAGCAGTGCCACACCTTTATTTGGTGAGGGTGATAAGGACGGCGCTGGGGGGTACCGAGCTGGGCCAGAGTTACCTTAATACATGTATAAAATGCGCACCCATATTAAAAGGCGCACTGCCGGTTCAGGGGAAGATCAAAGGTTTTTAGTAGAGCCTTATGGTGCGGAAAATACGGTAATCTAATTGAGACAAAATTAAGAAACAGAGCATCTAAAACGTTGCAAGATAACTTGCACAACTGTTGAAAGTGGTTTAAAATGATGTCAAACGACCCAAATGACTTCATTTTAAATTCAATTTGGGTCCTTTGTACCAACTTATTGTGATTTTAAAAAAGTGCAATTTTATGTTTCTAAGTGATCGAAGTTCCAACCCAGTGAATCGAGATGTTGCAATAATAAAAGATAAGTAATAACCAATTAGATTACTTCATAATTGTTTGGGGAACAATTAAGCATTTCCAAAGCTTTTTTTATAGTTTAGTGTGTTTTAAAAACATGATCAAACATGAATTCAAAGTTAGATTTTCAGTCGCATTGGTAATAAATTACAATGGTTCAGCTTTTAATAAATGTGCACTAACTTTGAGTTAGAATCTAATTTGTTAATAACAAAATTCCTGTTTGGGAGTTCTAAGCAGGAAAATAAAAACGGGAAAAAATAAAAACGGGGCTGGCAGATGGCCGACTGAAGTCAATGCTGAAAACCGATAAGATAGGTGACCTTTCTGTAACCTCTCCACACACTCCCTGCTCTCCACGGACTCTTTTGGGCCAAGGAGGAAGCTCTGTTTGGTCAGAGCCACACCGCTGATGCTCTGAGCTCATATGGGATGCAGCAGTAAAGGTCATTGCTAGAAGTTCAACATTACTGATCAGAATTTCAAGTGAACTGAGTTGGAGGTGATACGGGTCTTAAAAGCAGAGCCAAGAGTAACGGGCATGTGGGTGAAAACAAAACAATGTACCATTCTAATTGGTCTGAGTGTCATTCCTATTAAAAGCCTTCCATTATCGTGGATTCAGTCTGAGATAAATTTATTCTTATGTGAGTAAGTTGGAGGATCATTGTCCCCTTGTGGAATCCACATTGTCACCAGCCTAATTTAAAACATGTCAGGCTCATCAGAGTGAGCACACAGTGGTAGCGGCAGCTCATAAGACTGAGATTTAGCTTAGCACATGGTTTTGTCTTTTTTGTTTTTGAGTAGCCTGTAGCTCAGTATATTTGTGAGAAACTTGGAAAACATCACCTAAAAGTAAAATTAAACCTTGATCTAACAGAATATTAAGCTTGCATCGCTGAAAAGATCTGTGTGATTCAGAAGGCACCTAGGATTTTCTACATTGTAGAAAGCAAAAGCAAGAAAAAAACTGCCAACAAGTTGCGGGACTACTTGTGTCCTTCAGGAGCAACTACAGTTTATTAGCACACCGAGTTTAATTATTCCTCAAATAAATTTTACTTAGTAAAGTGCCTGGAGATGACTATTGTCGTGATTTGGTGCTACATAAATAAACTTAGTTGAATTGGTTTACATTTTTAATTTCCTCTAGTTTTGTGGGATCAAAAACACCAAAAACGTTTTAAATATTTGTTTTAAAAAAGAAAAGTTGAAAATTAATTAAAATATATCAAGTGTAAGAAAAAGTGGTCTAAGCAGACCAGAATAAAACATTGTGTTGCAGGGGCGCTAGTGTCGAGACGCTGTTTATCTGATTCTTATTAAAATGTTTGAAAAATCTGATTGAGATCCTTCACATTTCTTTTTGGTGCAGCAGGGACCAATGTTATGTCCAAAAGACTAATATTATAAAACAAATCAAAGTATTTCAGGTGATTGCAGAGAGGTTTTTTTTTCATATTCTTTCTTTTTTGTGCGATCAGACCAAGAGATGGACCTCAAAATGAAATGAAACGTGTTGAAATGTCCTGAAGCAGGAAACACTGAATTCTGAACTTCTAATTGCTCTCAGGTCTGAACTCTAGCTGAAGACTTTTTCTTGCCCAACGTTACTATTTATTGTGTGAAACTGATTTCAAACCAAAATGGGAGGTAAAACTCCAATCCCTGGGTCACATTTGATGACTACAGCTGTAGAAACTATCTGCACATCAACATCAACACCAACTCCAAATCTAATTGTTTGTTATGAAAACAACAATATAACTTGCATTATATATTCATTTATCAGAGAAGGAAAGCTGACTGCAGATGTTGTTTTGTAACAGTCACTGAAAAGGTCAATGTCTTAGTGACATACCAAACTGCAGTCTGCAGTCCTGCTACCAGACCAAACCTACCTGCACAACAGCGGACTAAACAACTTTACCTGTCCTCTACTTTACTAAAAATAATATCTGTGAGATATGCCACATGTTCTCAACAATTATGCACATATGCTGCTTAAAGCTGCTTCTGCAGAGTTTAATTGGATATCAGTTGAGCTCTGCAGAAGCCTAATTCAGCTCTAATGACTGGAATGTTGCACTGTTTGTGTACATGTGTGTGTGTGCATGCATGTGTGTGTGTGAAAGTGTGAGTCATCCCACTATTAAGCTGTCTCTGAAGCAACAACCAGCCATAATCTGCCGGACTCTGTAATGACTCTCTGTAAGACAGCTAATAAGTCACGCAGCAGATTGCAAACTACAGTGTGCCTGACTGAGTCACTATTCCGGCTGACATCATTAATTCTCCAGCCGACCCCGGGGGGCATGACTTGTTTAATCATGGGTGATTAGAAAGTGGCTCCATCTCGGCTCTCGTGCTGCTTTGACGGTGTTCTTTTCCTTCTACGTTGCTGAGTCAGCATCTATACATTTACTGCAAAGTGATTCCGCGCTCTGAACGGCTGTTTGTTGCTGAAACAAGCCGTGGCTGCTGGTTAGAGTGATATTGATCCTGCACGTGCATATGCGCGCGTGCTTTGAGCTGATAGATGACTAATATGAGGTGAATTTGTTTTTAGGTAAAGGATCTGCTGCAGGTTTCAGGTGGAGAGGGGAGGCTGGAACGTTTTCAGGACCACGGAGAGCTCCTGGTCTAGACTTGACAGCGAGGCGCTCAGCAGCCGCTCGTCTCCCACTCCGCTGGCGGTCACGGACGCTCCGCTGCTGCTGCACCGGGGTCTCTGGTGACACTGAAAAAAGGATTTTCCCATAACAGCGCACCGGAGCAGCTCATTTAACACAATCAGACAAGTAGATCTTGTTAAGGAAGCCCTCTCTTTGTGCTTTTAATAGTTTGTTTGGATGCAGCTGAGCCAAAGCGCGCGCGGGGACTGATTGTAAATAGATTAGGTCTAGCCAAATGACGGGATGTGCAGGAGAGTGGGGTGCGAACGGGAATCCACGCAAGAGTGTCCGGAGTTATCATTAAGTTCTGGCGCATCCAGAGACATTTAGATCAGGTCTGTGGAAAAGATCCGGTCAATCATCCTGGTTTTGCACCAGACCAAACCAAAATCCACAGTGGAGTTAAGCACCGTCTGACATCGCCCTGCGCTATAAGGCTGCACCTCACTCTTCTACGGAGCTGTCTGGTAAAAAGCAATCTCTTCAAAATAAAATTAAAGCCACAGTCCCAACAGTCTGCAGGAAACGTGCAACGCAGTGCCATGCGCACAGAAACTTGATAAGAAAGAAAACCATTAAATTAGCTCTCACCCTGCGTTTGTAAACACACCTTACCTGTGATCTCCTGAGACAAGAGAACAGGAAGATGGGAATTCGTGCAAATATGTCACAGACGTCCGCGCAGCAACTCTGTGGTTCCACCTCTCCACTCCCTAGAAGGGCGCAGGGTAATTCTTGGCAGGAACAGAAGCGACGTCCCCAACTCTTAGCAGCAGCAGCAGCTCAGCATCCTCTGGCTCCTGGTGGCTGGTACCCTCTCCGAGCTCCGCTCCTGCTCTGCCCTATTTCAGCTCCTCTCGCTGCGCTCCGCTCCTGACGTCAGTCGCTGCACGCCAATATCCGTGAAAAAAGGCGCTCCGCAGACGCATCTGCAGATTCATCGCACTGAAAAGAAACGCCTGTGCGTGTGCGCTTTGGCAACAACAGGGATAGAAGCCAGGTCAAAGGAAGGTTAAATAAGAAGGGAAACAAAAAATAAAAATCATGAATAAATTATTGGGTTTTGTTTCATTTGGATTTGGTTAGATATATAAGCTGAGCATTTTTAAAGTTTACCCGATGAAGCAAGGAAACTTGCACTTAAGAGATCAAACAACGTTTAGAGATAAAATACTAACGTGTTCCACACATGCTAAAAACCTTTACTGCTGTTGAGTAATGTTTCAAAAATCGTTCAGAAACGGTTTATATTTGTGGGTAAAGAAAAAAAAACTCAATCGTCAGAATAAAACAGAACAAAACTAATGTTTTCGTGCAAACATTTATTTTTAACCAATTAAGTGAAGAGAAACTGTGATAAAACAATTAAACATTGTAGGGTTTGGCAAACTGAGTGATTAAAGAGCCCAATATATATTACCTCTTCTTATGACCAATAAGCTGTGATACTCTATATAAATATGGAATATCAACCCTGCTTGGTCTTTACTGTGTTTATCAGAAGATTCTAGGATTCTTCATTTATTAGGGGATTGTACACACTTCGTTTTGATTCAGAAAACAGTCAGGTTTATAAAAGTAATAATTTATTTTACCAACAATTAAAACATGACAAGTTAACTAACATTTTACTGTGATGGATGGAACTAGATGTGATGTATGAAACCTATGTGTGAATGCGGTGTTAGTCAGAACTTCCTTATCTAGGAGAGCTGAGTTCTGGATGTAAAAGAATTTGGTTTGCTCTAAGCTACGAAGGTGGTTATTATCAAAAGCACATCAGACGCTATCTGTGTGTCTACTTCACCCGTTTCAGAGACCCTCTTGGTGGATCTGAAGGTCAGTGAGGTCGGATGACCTCTGGCACCGAAGGTCCAGTAGATTGACCACAGCACCGACTTCTCCAGTCCAGAGATGTCTCAGGTCACGACAGACAGATGGAACCGCGCGTCTGGGACTCTGAAGGAGTCTAAACAATATCAGCTCGTTCTGCAGGAACTGTTGCGGTATCAGCTTCCCAGGTGCAAAAAGAATTTGACGACGTGTCAAAATCTTTGATGGGTTAAAGATGTGTTGTTTCAGCTGGCCGGTCTGAAACTTTCTCTAGAACTAAGAGAACACCCAGCGTGATCCAGTTTTAAGGATCTCATGTTATGATTTGTGTAGCCAACCAGAGGTTGACTATTTTGAGAAATGTTACCAAGAAACTCAGAAACACGGCTTCTTTGAAACGGAGGCTCTGACTGGGGTAAACGACTATTTGTGTGTCAGAGTTTAACTTAACCTTACTTGTTCTTGTGTGAGTGCAAATGGTGATGACCTTGCCATATAAACAACATAACATTCATTTCAAACTCCAACCATTGAGCACAGATTATTTGAAACATTTCATTATATCATAATTATTATAAGTAGCAATACACAAACATTTATTTAATGATTATCTAGCATATAATGTGTAGAAGAAGTTCGTATTGATTTAGGAAATCATTCTTGATATACCAACTAATCTGAGCTGGAGTGTCTCTCATATGGAGGCATGAAGACCTGAAAGATTGGACCTTGAGGAGAGAATGTTGTTGTTGACATTTCGTTATCTGTTCAGAGCTGCAGAGACTCTGAGATCCAGCTGATGGGATGAAGGCAGGCCAATTTAAAGGGGACACATGCAGTCTTGTGTCTCCTTTTTGACCAGATGTTGAATGGTCAAACTGTACCTAGAAACTGACCATTGCTGGGTGTTACAACATGCACGTTTTGTATATTTGAGTTTATATATTCAATTAAAAATTCTGACAAATAAAGTTATACATTTGTGCAAATTGATGGGGATGAATGATCGTGTCCTCTGGACAACATTCATGTAAAAAGACAAGCAAAAGGAAAAAGTGCATTTGGTCTACTATATTCTAAAAGACTAGTATGGTGGCACCTGCATCAAAATTGCATGTCGCAATAAAACATTCATGGTCAATGTAATATTTATCAAGACAATCACAAAAAGTGAGTTTGGGGAAAGCAAAAATAACATCTAAAGATAAGGGAAATGATCATTACAAATAAAAAAGAGAGAAAAATACAGTGTTGAGGGTCTGACCTCATGAGGAAATTACTATGCAGTGATTTTCTCCAAAATGACTGTGCTTAAATTGCTCTGAAAAGCAAATAATCACATCAGCGCCAAGAAACTTCATTTCCCATGATGCTTTGCACACGGAAGCATTGTGATGACGTCACCGCCTAGTACCAGAAACACGTTCTGCGCATGTGCGGGAAGCCGTGGAGCTTTTCCCGCGAACTAAGACCATAAATCTTCAGCAGAGACAAAGAAACCTCGTTCTTTTGCCCAGGATACCTGGCGGTAAGGACACGCTTGTCGAACGCTCCGACAACTTGAGCACGCGGAAGCTCTAAGTGCCCAAGTTGAACCCACGCAACCGCTGGAAACTACACTCAACTCCATCGGGACCTGACTGGGAACGAGCGGAGCTCCATTCAGCTCTCAGAGACGCTGTAAGTTGTCAAACTCAGCACAAAAGAAACTTCGTTCTCTTTGTGTCCAGCCCGTGGAGAAACACACGTGGAGCCAAACAACGGAGAAAGCATCAAACCGACGGATGACGCTGAAAACTGCGGAGAAAAACGGAGAACCGTCAAATCATAACAGCGGGGACGCCTTGCTGCTCATCTGGTGATCAGAAAACTCATTTTTTCCTCTCCTTTTCTTCTCCCGTTTCCTCTATAGTCCAGAATAAGCAATAAAACCGCGCTATTGCTTAAAAAGTAGCTTCGTGTTTTCCTCTTTCGCTCCCAAAACACGTCCGCCGGGTCATTTTGAAAGAATAAACTGCTTATTGATCATCGCTAATATCTTTAGTCGTCAGCTCTGGCCAGGCTGCCGACTCCTTTTAGATTAAATAATTTACAAGTGACCCTTTTGTTGTTTGTTAACTTTTGAAGTGTTTGAGTTAAGTTTTACTGTGATTCTAAGCCACTAAGTGTTCGGGGAAGTAGAAAACTTTACACATCCAGGTCTCCTGTTGAATGCGAGGGGAGGGGAAGAGCCCCACACACACTCACAGCTCACTCCCCCCACCTACTCTGGGGAAACAAAGACCCATTCATCTCACACACACACACACACTCACTCACACACACCACACAAACACCTTGAACATTATTTTGAATATACATCCTTTTATTATATCACATGGTTATTATTCATTTATGCCACTGTTTATTCATTTGACAAATTGTTAATTAAACGTTATAAAATTCAGATTTTCGTCTCCAGTAGCTTTGTTGTGTCGAAGAGAAGTCTCTGCTCCAAGGATTCTACGAACTTCAAGAAAGACTGATAAGAGTTTTGGATTCAATTTTTCCCCGGTTAAAGGGGAATGGTGCCCCGTATATCTAAGAATATCTTAATTAATTAATAAATCAGTAAATATTCCCATATTTACAGAATTTATTGAAGAATCCAAAAGTAAGTTGAAGCTTACTAATTGTTCGCTCCTAATAACCCCAACATTAATTGGTGCGGCCGTGTGAGGCTTGGATACACAGAGATTTCTATCCGGCACAAACAAACAAATAAATCCAAAAAGCTTGAATTAAAAATAATCAGTTGTTCAGCCTTGAACCAGCAACAGAGTGGTGCTGATTTCGCTGAGCAGGAAGCTGCATCGAACTCTCACCAGTAACTCAGTGCTTCTTTAAAGGTGCAACGTGTAAATTAATTCTGGTTGACCTTTTAGGTTAAAAATTCAGTTTTTCTTTAAAGGTGCAACGTGTAATTAATTCTGGCTAACCTTTTAGGTTAAAATTCAGCTTTTCCTTAAAGGTGCAACGTGTAATTAATTCTGGCTAACCTTTTAGGTTAAAATTCAGTTTTTCCTTATAGGTGCAACGTGTAATTAATTCTGGCTAACCTTTTAGGTTAAAATTCAGTTACTCATTAAAGGTGCAGCGTGTAAGTAATTCTGACTAACCCTTATAGGCTAAAATTAACTGCTAATTTAGCGACTAACTCACAGTGGCTATTATAACTAACTGAAACCTTCACTCAAAGACTGATAACACCCTGTTTGCTAATATTCTGAAGGAATAACTAGCATATTTAACACTGCAAGTGTTGTAAGACGTTGCTACGGCAACGCACCAGCTTTTGCTAAAATACTGAAAGGAATAGTATTTTAAGCGTCAGTCACGGCATTCCGTGCAATCTTAAAACGCTAAAACCTGTGCGCACAAAGGTTAATTTAGTGTTTTTCTGCTACAAAGCTAGCAGTTTGCTGCCAAAAGGTGCAGTTTGAGCTATCTGCAGAAGCTCTACTAGGCTATTTTTGGTTCGGTTGTTAAATGGAGGGACAGAGTAGTGAACTGACCAACTCCCAGCAACCAGGTGGCGCTGCGGCCCACGACTATGAACCTGGCCTACTTTCTGGACAAATATTGTCCAAACTGGTCGCGGTTGCTCGAGAACCCGACTACCCTTCTAGGGATTTCACTGAAGAACAGCTTGACGCTGTAATCGATCAAATAGAAAACCCGGATGGTACAAAACCAATCCAGGTTCACTTAGCTAAGTTAGCCCTGATCCTCTATCAGAGAGGACTCCAACATGATAGAGAGATCATGAACCTCCAGAGTATGCTAGCTGAAAAACAGCAAAATGGAAGGCAGAAGGATGATGAGGAGGAAGACGAAACCAGCACCGATTCTGGGGAAGATGGGGAGAAGACCCCACCCCCTTCTGCTGATGACAACAGACAGTGGGAAGGGGGGAAACACCATGACTCTCTGGACGGACGCACGCCGCAGGGGAGAGATGAAGCTCATCTGTCCCAACCTGCGGCCCCGTTCCCTACACACACTAT